CGGGGATGTAACAGTAAGTGATAGATCAAGTATCGACCATCATAAAGACTGAAAAATAAAATTGACAAAGATTATTGTTTAAGGTTGACGGACACGCATGTCTTAATTAGTTTTTTTTTTTTTTTTTTTTATGAATTGGTCAAACCCAAACTCAAACAAAAACATTGTTTTCAATCGTTATGTCTATCGATTGAATAGAATTTTATTATAAACAATTGAAAATGTAATTTTTAAAGCATTCTGAATGTAAAAATAAAGAAAAAAATGTGCAAGACAATAAGAAACACTACCTGCCAAAAAAAATGTGAAGTTTTGTTGAAATCGGTTGAAAATGTAGGAAATCTGATACCATATATAAACGAACACACACACACACACACACACACACACACACACACACACACACACACACACACACACACACGCAAAACCTGGGTTTTATAATAAGTATAACTCGATAAGAGTTGTCCCCCTTTTATTCTGGCGACAGAATCGTGTTTTATCGTGTTTTCAAATTGATTTCGTGCAAAAACAATTGTGTTTTTCCAATTTTCGGCGTTGTCGGAACCACCGCAAGGTAATTTTACGTAGTCCTGTGAAGTTTTGTTGAAATCGGTTGAAAAATATAGGAAATCCGATCAAATATATAAACGTACAGACACACACACACACACACACACACGCACAACACACACACGCACACACACACACAATCTGCGTTTTATAATATGTAAGATGATGCTGTTTCTGATCCACTCTAATTGAACGATATTTCTGATCGACCAGCTGAGTACAGCTGATATTAAGTTTATAAAATACTTTCTAACCATTTTGTTTTATAAAAAAAAAATTAGTATTAATATGTGTCTAACTAGTGGCTTTGAAAACCACACTTTGGCGAAAACCACACATTCGAACCTTGTGTACTGGCGCTACATAATCACAAGCAAATAATTGTTCCAAATATTAGAAGCTACAACACATGAAGATTTCAACAGTAGCAACAACTAAAATGTACTGTAACTCGATGAGAAAATATTGACATTATGAATATGTTGCCGTTCCACATTTCTTCAAATAAAATGTTAACAAGGAAATCCTCATCAATCCAGGAAAGAGCGATAAAATCTACTGGAACCCGAGAAACCTGAAAAATTGTTTTCAGAAAAAGGTTTTGTAAATATCAACCGACAGTTCTACTGGTTGCTCGGTAAATGAATGCCGAATGTTTCCTTATTAAGAAACGGCTAATATTACCATTACCATATAACTGATTATGACCGAACTCCACACAGGACGGTGGACATGCAAGGATAATGACTATCTTCTATAATTGACTCGTGATTGATTTCCAGCGTCTTTCCTTATCAGTTTGGGTTTGATGAATCTTAATGAATAGTAAAAGACATTTTCTTGCTAAAAGAAAAATAAATTTAATGAAGAGAGTCTTTGAATAATTGAGTGCGTTCCGCAACATTGCATAATTTGATATTTTACACATTTTAAATGATTTTCACGTCTAATTAGCCGTGAAATGTTCGCAGCTAGCAATGTTCAACCCATACCAAAATACCTCCCACTTTATGTTTGATAATTGAAGCCAGATAATCAGAATTATATTTTTATCGTATCGTCAAAAACATCTTTCAGGAGCATCACTGATTATCTTAAAGCTCCTTCCATCACATGGGCAAAGCAGACTTTGCCGTTTTTAAAACGGACAGAGTGGTACCAATACTTTACGCTTTCTGGGCTCAAGAGAGTGTTTCTCGTGCGCCGAGTCTATGAGAAATTTTATTCTAGCCAACGTTCGCATAATTGGTTTTGACAGTTTTAAATACTTTTGCTACTTGAGTGAGAGTTTGCTTATTGCTGTCTAAAATATGTCTTTTGGTGAATGTTTTGTCTCTTAGTATAATAGATTTGAGCCTCGTAGAACTTTGTCTTGTTATCCTGTTTTTGCAAGTCTCCAGATAGTACTCTTCAAAGCCGATAAGAAAGCAATGATACGGAGCCTTGGCTAGGATGAATGCCTAGTGACCTAATCTGGTTGACCATTGCTAATGAGTAATGAGTTCAATCCTAACTGGGGATCTATAGTAGCATTTTAGAGCAAAAATTAAGCTAAGCTTACTCTGTTATTTAGGATAATTCAACATCTGGTAATAGTCACCAAACAGGATTTCCACTAAATTAAGCCAAGCTTATAAAACAACACATGTCCACAATGTGGGGTAATAGTCAGGAAGATGGTATTTCTGACCATAACTACTGAATAATGAGTTCGATCCTCACTGGGTGCACATGCAAAAACCTTTTACCAAACTAAGCTAATCTTATAAAACAACAGAGTCGCACCACCGAGGGTTAATTTATGACTCCACTACCCAGATATTTCAAAGTACATTAAATATGAATTATTAGCATTGTAAATGGAGCTTTAGCATTGAAGAATTTGGTTTATTTACCTTTCGGCCTCTCATATTTGATAACAAGTTCCAACTTGTCTTGCCTTGACTATACCGGGCCTAAGGACGGCCCCATTTGGTATCATAGGCGTTACGGATGTGCATACATTTGATGTTATTCTATGTGCGCCGTACTTACCATTGGAATCAAAACAATTAAATCTTATCCATTGGCCAATATGAAAGAGTTCACTGCCACAAATCTTGTCTGTTAGAGTCTCCCATGACCACATGCAAAATCCATCTAACGAAGTCTTCACCGCCTGACGATTACGTCTAGCTTGAAACAGCCTGTCGCCTCTGAGTATTGACTTCAATGTTCACTTTTATATTTATATTTATATACGCTCTATCTCTGATATTGGGCACTTAATCCCATAAATATAGCACAACTTAGAACTATATTTCTTCATATAAATATATATATATATATATATATATATATATATATATATGTGTGTGTGTGTGTGTGTGTGTGTGTGTGTGTGTGTGTGTGTGTGTGTGTATATATATATTATGAATATATATATATATATTATGAATATATATATATGTGTGTGTGTGTATATATATATATATATATATTATGAATATATATTATGAATATATATATATATATTATGAATATATATACATATATATATATATATATATATATTACTGAATATATATAATATACGCATGAAACTTCGACTCGTGATGTATTATGTATATAACATATAATTTATAGCTCTGTTATATAACATTGAGCACAGTTTTTATAACACATTAGAAAAAATATACATGTACATGCAAGTATATGTATATCATATATATATATATATATATATATATATATATATATATATATATATATATATATATATATATATATATATATATATACATATATATATTATCCTTGCGTCTTAGTGGGTTTATTGCCTTAATTGGGGTGAAATTTTTTAAATATATATATAAATATATATTTTTCCTCATCGCTAGTACAATTCTGAGTTTCATGCACATCACAATGTTCAGATGCAACCGACGAGGAAAATATATATATATATATATTATCCATATATAACTTATAACTGTGTTATATTATATTAAGCACGATTTTATTCACACCAGCACTCAATGTGTGATTGGAGTCAGCAACCAGAGACGACAGTCTGTTTCATGCTAAATGCTAATGGTCATCTCATGTGCATTTTGCATTTGCTTGACTATTAGTAAATACACAACGCACATGGCCTGACGAATGGTTGTCTACTTCAATGTCCACTTTTATATTTACATACGCTCTGTTCCTGATATTGTGCACTTTAACCAATAAATATAGCATGAAACTATATATTGTGCTCGCAGGAACTGTCTGGCAACCATGACTGCGTTCTCCTGCTTGTGTTGCATGATGCAAAGTCCTGTTTCCAGATATAGTGACTTCCAGCAAACACCCTATTGACCCAGTGCAGCAATACCCACTCACGGTACTTGATGTTGGCCTCGATGTTGAGTCTAAGTTCCTCACCAACAAATTCGGGAGTTCTTTTCTAATCAGAACTATCAGAGTTAGTTTTCCGAGATGCCATACCTTCCTAACCACCATTAGACTCAGCCAACTCTTTTCAAATCCTCAGCACTTTCCTCAGTGTCCTTTCCTTTCCTCAGCACTGTCTTCAGATTGATAAGCAAACACACAGAAATGTATGCCGCTGCAAATACCAAGCATAACATGCCGTTTACAAATTCCAAGCGGAATAAATTGCCTCATGGTGTTCTTTTTCGTATAGACGTTGCCCAACTGACTCCACTCTACGCATTGGCGACAAAATCAAAATCAGTCAACGCGCATGCGTGAAATTAAAAATATAAAATGGCGACAATGTATCCACTTCACCCTGCAAATACTGTGAGGATTTCGAAAATTCTAGTTTTAAATATGCTCGAAAAATTGTATGAACATATTTTATGAAGCTCCTGACAGTAGTATTGGGATTTTCCCAATTATATTGGTAACAAAAATATTGTGACGCCGGCAAGAAGAAAGGAACACAAACACAGTTGAAAAATGTATGAAAAAACATGTATTTGTAGGAAAACAGAAGTAAAGTTTCTAATTGCAAACAGTTGGTTTGCGGGACTTATCTGCAAAATACGTCCTTATAACAGTTTTATCTTTCCCTGTTTGGCTTGGTTGAAGAAAACAGAGTCCTGACTCCTGTGCTTCAGTTGCTGTCGAAGTCCTCACGCGTGTCCTGATGTTTAGATGACGGAGTGAAGATAGGGAACGTGTTATCTCTGAGGTTCCCGACAAGCAAAAGAGGAAGAGCGTTTGTAAAAAACGCTCACGTGGGGATTTGGTGAAAGTCTAAAAAGGTAGCCTGTGATTGGTTGTTTTTCATCCAATCACAGGGCACCCAGTTAGCGACTCCGTAATAATTTCAATAGTAGAGGTGATTTTATATCCGGCCCCAACAGTAGTGTACTTATTCTTATAAAGTATCAATTTCTTATAGAATGAAGTTTAATTTCCACTCCTATTGTATGCTTCTTCAAGATGAGATTAAGGTTCGCAATGCTCAGACTCTAATTTCGAAATTAGTAAATTTATCTCCCAGATTATTCCTTTCTTGTCTGGTTTACTAGTGCATAATGATTTATTATTATTAGTAGCAGTAGTATTAGTATTAATATATGATATATCAACGCTCAAAATAGGTTAATCTTCGAAATTAATTCCCTCTAGTTAGGAGTTCGATCTTCTGTGGGGTCAACACTACTGTGATTCATTCATTGGTTTATTTTTAACGACTTTACATTAAATTATTTGAAGTCAGAAAATATTTTAAGAATCTTTTGGAGATAATAAATAATAAGTATTTACTGATAAAACACCTACTAATTAACCCATAGCTGAGGGAGAAGAGGTGAATTCCTATTTGCGCGTAACGGAATATAACGAACGTGACTGGAATTGGAAGTCGGTTCTCCAATTTCGAGCTTTTATTGATGCACATCCAAGCTTACAGCACCCGGTATTCTGAAGCGGCCACACATCTAGATACTGACTTCGGTGATCATACGGCAAACCGGCGTACCGACGTGATATGGCCGTCAATTAAAAACCTGAAGCAAATAGCGCAACAACAAAAAAAGAAAATAATCTCTTAAGTTCTTTTCCCCTCGTAAGGAGATCGATCTTCAGGGAAGTCTTCACTAATGTGAGACTGGAACAGATAGCGTCAAGCTTAATAACCAAATAAACGTGCCTCGTGACGTTCTTGAAACAATTCCGTATAAAAGTCGCTACCTGTGTTACGGACGTCGGTGTTTGTTTCAAGAGAGAAGCTAGGGATTCGAAGGATTTACGAGACTGTCAGGAACCCATTACTTAGAAGAATGACTTAATCAATTTTTCTAATTTTATTTCCCGACATATTGACTCATGTCGTACGAGGGAAAGTTAACAAAATATCAATGAAACACCATTTGAAAGCTTCACAGTTCAGAGCAATAGATAGTAATCTAGCCTCACATTACTATTACTCTGTAAGAGAACACGTGTACAAATATACGTAACCTATCATGATTAATAGTCTGATAAAGGTATTCCTATCTATAAAAGGCATGATGTGTGTGTGTGTGTGTGTGTGTGTGTGTGTGTGTGTGTGTGTGTGTGTGTGTGACGAATGCACGTCCGCAATTTTCGACGGATTTGCACCAAAATTTACATGCACATGCTCCAAGTTAGCGGGAAGGCCAAGACCGACATTGCATTTCCCAACTCCAATCGATAGTGGAAATAATCGATTTTTTCATGCTTCTACGGCAGTTTTCATGTAGTTTGCGGCCATTTTCTACTGGCCAGCCTATAGCTGGCTACCACGAATAGGCAGGAAGATTCTATTGGCCAGCGTGGGAGCCAGCAGCTGACTGACACGAATATTAACTAGCATGCAAAAAGAAATCGATAGCTGCATTCGTCACAAGTGGGAAAAATTTAAATCTGCATGGCACTTTACTCCAATTGGCTCATTCGCTTGCTTAAACTCAACGTTGATTTTGATTCCGTATAACTGGGTTGGGTGTGAAAAAGTATTTGTTGTTAACATTCATTTTTCATTCGGTTTTTCCAGTTACGAGTCCTTTTTTAAAGCTGATCGTTTTGTGTTCATTTTGTTTCGTTCTTTTTTCGTAACAGATTTAATGTTTAGTATAGAGCTTCGAAAAAAATCGCAGTGTGAGATAGGCAAGAACTAAGGTATGTAGCAACATCAGCACGGCAAAGGGCAATCATTTAAAGGCAAGGAAGGGCAAACTTATTTTATGTCAAGTGATAGCGATTGCTGTATGAGTCGTACGATTTTTGAATCAAGCACGGGTAACGCCGGGCCATGCTGCTAGTACCATTATATGAGTGTCAAGCAGTTGGGAACGGACAGCCAGACATCAGCACATATAATTTGATTATAGTGGTGAAGGCTATGTGCAGAACGTACAATTTTTTTTTTTTATATACAGAGTCTTGGTGCACTTTTTAAATTCAGAGTTGTCCGTCTCCTAGACCAGTTACCATCGAGTCTGTCCTGCTATTTACCCATAGCTGGAGGGAAAAGAAATGGATTAATACCTTTCTCAAGGGTATTAGCATATAAATAAATGCAATTGATTCGACTGGAATTCGAACTCGGCTCTCCGATTTCTCAATCCGAGCCGCTATCCACTACTCCATACTATTATATAAATGTTTATCAGTATTATTATTTTTTTTTTGCTAATCTAATCCGCTTCAAACACTTCCTAGATATTTAAACTCTGCGCTTGTTGTGTTTTCTTAGTTCATGTCATGGGTTTTTTTCCTTGCTGAGAAGCATATGATAGATTCTTTTTTGTTGTTTTGTTTTTTTCTAATCGTTTCCCGCCAAATAAGGCGATGATGTCACTAAGACGCAGTAGAGTGAAAGAGAATGAATAAGCTTTACCGGGAATGACTGAGGGATTAACAGAAAATGGAAGAGGGTTTCAGGAAGACAGACGAAGGCGATTGACGTTGCATTTAAATTTTTGAAGATTGTAGTTAGCATGGAATCAAGAAATCGGAAGCGATTTCCAAAGAGGAGAAATGCGAGAAAAGTCACTTTTAGAATAGAAGTGGCGGTTTCTAGTTGTCCTCTAGTACTTTCTTTTCGTTTTGTTTCATCTTAACATGTTACTTAGTTTACCTTATTAAAATCAAGCATCATTCTTGTGTGACAGTTAGCCAGCTAGCCTTACAAAACTTTTCTGTTGTGTGTTCGATCCCAGCTCAGTATGTTTCTCTAGATATCGTGTACTGTATGAAGTTACCATTAGTAAATCTTTACTTGTCCAAATTGCTAGTGGTTAGTGAGTTGGTTTCGCATACCATTACTACTGTGATTTTTTTTACAGCGAGTTTCACCCTGTACGGGGCCACCCGAAGTAGAAGCTGACGTTAAAGGGTAGATTATATGCATAAGAGGGGAAGATAATTGGTAAATCTAGATTGAACAGGTTAATATTGTTGTGAGCGGGGAAAGATCCTCTTGGAGGTATGTTCCACAGCGAGGCTATTTGAGTAGAACTTACTTCAAGCCAAAGGAATGTGAGTGGTTTGCTAAGTTGCATAGAGGGTCATAGCCATGAAGGTTAGGCCTAGCGGAACCAGGAACGCAGTTCGTCTAAGCATTTTCCATGGAAGCAGCGATAGAACAGTAAGAGACCCGCCATATCCAGCATGTAAAAGAGAGGTTGGAAGGTGGAATATAATTCTTCTTCAACAAGGATTCGGAGATGCATTTGAACTCTATCAAGACAAGAAAGTGTGGACCGGAAAGCTCCCACCCAAATATGGCAACAGTACATTTTCGGACTGATCTGGATCTTATAAAGGTAAAGGATAGTATGAGGGGTCAGGTACTTACAGGAACGGTAGAGGGAGCCGAACATTTTATCTGCTTCTTTAGCGATGAGTTTGAACTTTACGGATGACTCTGCCTAAAACGTATTATTACTGAAGGCCGAATTAATACCAGTAGATTCAGCTTTTTGCATTACTTCATCCCGGATATTGAAATGCCTGTTGGAAATATTGACAATATCTGATTAAAACAAAACATAAATTTACATTTAAAGAATACAGAACTTTTATATGATAGTGAATAAAAAAACATCTGGTCGTTCCATTATCAGACTACAACAACCAAATTCAGAGTAGATTTGGAGCGAGCAGGAGACATATTCAAGTCGCCATAGAAATGACTGCGATAAAAAATATATCTGGCTTAGTTTTGCTTTGTTTTTCCATTAGTTTTAGGGATTCTTACATTATGCCTTATTCTTTACAAAGAAATCAGAATTCTAACTCGGCATTTTATAAGGGACGCTAAGCTCTCAATTAGTTAGATATACACGTATCTATCTATCTATCTATCTATCTATCTATCTATCTATCTATCTCTATTCGTATTTATCTCTGTTCATATCTATCTATCTATCTATCTCATCCTGTTCATATTCATCTATCTCCAGCTTTTCCTATCTATATTCCTGTATATATGTCTGTTCATATCTGTCTATATATATTTGTCTGTTCATATCTATCTACCTATCTCTGTATATATATATATATATATATATATATATATATATATATATATATATATATATATATATATATATATATTAGTGGTAAATATACATACATATGCAGAAAAAACAGAAAAAACTGGAGTTGTTTTTTTCTGTTTTCTTTTTGTAGGTCTGATGAATTGGATCGTATTTACTGGAATAATTTAATGGAATAAATTATGACCATGGAATATTAGTGTTTAAACCTTTTATATATATATATATATATATATATATATATATATATATATATATATATATATATATATATATACAAACTGGTTACAATATGCACGCAATTTTCAGTGCTGCCAGTAGCCCCATAAAACCCCAAATTCCAAATACTATTCATCAATTCACCTAGGATCCCCCTTGTTTGCAGTTCATCACAGTTGATGTGAAAACTTGTCAAATATCCAATGCCTGAGAGATATTTGTCTTTCTCTGAGCTTGTTGGATGTCTAAGATGAATATATAATTCGCTTTCATCTATTATATACAATGTTTATACCCAAATGCTGATTCTATCTCTATGACAGCTTTCTCCAGCAATAACAGCCTCCCAACTTCCTAAAATCTTCCTTTACAATCTTATGTATGTCTGTAAAAATATTTAAATATTAAAACAAAACTGTTAATTCAAGACCTTAAAATATCCAAAAAATAAATTAATTAAATGAAAATAAATAAAGAATGCACTAACTCCCGAACTAAACTACTCTCTATTAATCATCTGAGAAAAAACAGCTCTGCCTTCGATTAGCCTGGCCGATGCAGACCTCCAGGGGCGGGGATTGCTCATTGTGCCTTCTTGGGCTAACGTTCTTGGCTGGAAATCCATTGCTAGATCAACTGCTAGGTAGATTGATTGACTGTGTCGTGACAGACATTTTTTTTTCTCTCCAGAGTCTATTTTAGTAAACTATAAGTCTACCATTGGCCCACCCATGCTAAGAATATTGCTGTCCATATGGTCCGGCGTCCCTGCTATTTATCTAGAGCTCCTTGATAAAATCCAAAGAACAATCAACAATTTTATTGGTCCTGATCTAGCATCTCGGCTTCAGTGGTAAGGTTGCCTCTCAGTGCGTTTTCTATAAATAATTTCATGGTTATTATTTGGAACAGCTCTTTGTGCATTCGTGCGAGGAGGAGGCCCACCGTTTACCCCGAGCCGAATGCTCCTTCTATCGTGAATGACGTATTGCTCTGAAGCGCCTCTTACGGGCGTCGGATGGCCTCTCCAACGTCCAGGCGTTGTCTCGTAGGGCATTATATCAAGTTTTAGTCAGTGGGGCCGTGCATGATGATCTGATTGTGTGAGTGTGTGGGAGGTCTGAATGGTTTACACTATTATAGTCCCGCATTGATTTCGGCCAGTGAAGTGATGTTTCTATCACATGTAGTGATTGTGGGTGGCTTTTATTACTAATCTTATTTTCTTTAGTTTCTTGTAAATAGTTCTTTTTGTATTCATATTGTAAATACTCATTGGGGTTAACTTTTAGAATTGTTGTTTTATTCCCCTCTCCCCACACAGACATCGAATTGTAAATATGGGGACTAGTTAGTATTTTCATAGAGTCAAAGAGGTATATGGTGGTTGTAGTAAGAAAGGTACGTATGAATGTGTTGTTTTGGTGTAAGGAATATTGTTTCGTACGATTGGGTCAGTGCTTGTGGCTAGCTAAGTTATATTTAAGACAGAAGAAGACCGTCCTTTCCCCAATCCCCTTTTCGGCCTTGTGCCACATTTCTGTATTGTACAGAATAAATATTGCTCTTTGCTATGGTTCCTGTAGTCTTCGAATGTAGTCTTCTATAAATAATTTCATGGTTATTATTTGAAACAGCTCTTTGCTATGGTTCCTGTAGTCTTCGAATGTAGTCTTCTATAAATAATTTCATGGTTATTATTTAGAACAGCTCTTTGCTATGGTTCCTGTAGTCTTCGAATGTAATCGCTGTACTAGACTAGCGACGAGGTCTCATCTATTTACTGTTGATCTGGCTTAGATGTAACCGTAAATTAAATGCTAACATTTTCTTTTCTCGCACTTCTCGCTTTACTGACCTCTCTTCTGCTTCCATGCTTTCCAGCAAATTTTAAATAAATAAAAAAAAATTTTTTTTAAAGCATTTCACCCCAAGCAAGGTGGGATGCCACTAGCACGCAAGGGGTACAGAGAGTGGGTTTGAGAGTGAAGAGGCGTGATAGAGGAAAGGATGAAGAGAAGGATAAAGCATTTGAAGATATCAATTGACATTACATTTGGATAGTTGGAGATTATAGCTATGAGGGGAACAAGTGATAGGCAGAGAATTCCACAGACGGGTGGTGCGAGACATGAAACTATTGAAGTAGAAGAGACGGTTACATTTAAAAATTTCGATAGTGATAGTGAAAGGGTGGGATCGAGATGATAGCCTAGTAGCCCGCTTAAATTCATGCAGTCTGGGAACCAGCGAAAGTGAGCTTGTCAGAGCATTTACCGTGAATTTGTAGAAAAGACAGAGAGAGGCGACGGTACGTCTGTGAGTGAGTGACTGTAGACGAGATGCCAGATCAGGACAAGTCATATTGCATATCCGTCTCTGGATTTTCTCGGGGACCTTGGGACGAACAGTGGGGGCTCCAGATCATATATGGCAACAGTATCCCATTCAAAGGCTAATGATTGATTTATAGATTTGAAGGATAGACTCGGGTGAGAACAACTTTCTGGCGCGAACCAACTTTCCTTGCGGTGGATGAAGCTTTTGATTGAAAGTATTTATTCCATTTCAGTTCAGTGTACAGTGTGAGACCAAGCAGTCGCAAAGAGGTGCTCTCGTGGAGTTGAGCATCAGACATCCTAATGGGAGTCAGGGATGGCTCCCTGTGGCGAGTAATAGAGTAATGTGAGGCATTAAAGTTAACCAGTCAATTCCTGTCCCAGTCCACAACCGATTGGGCATCCTTTTCGAGACAAACGGCCAGGTTACTTTTGTCAGTGATACCAGATTTGCCTTTGTGATGTCAATCGCTGTCTACTGTCCTCCTTAAGTCGAACATACAATAGAATTTACACACGAAAGGAAAAACCAGCAACACTTTATCTTTCCTAGTTATAACGCTACACTGTATTAAGAGTAGCTTGAAATATAGTGCCCATCAAAAATCAACTCATGAAAATAATCTCATAAATATCTTTTCTCATCCTCACAACAAAATAAAATGCGGTATAATCATCAGATTCTATTTCAGAGCGCCCAGTATTTTACACGAAGAGAAGAAATACGTTCTGAGTTGGATAGATGTAAATTCTATACAGTTTATTTTCTCGCACTTCTTGCTTGTGAAACTTCCTTTTTAAGCCAAATCGCGACACTAGCAGTTAGGCAACTGACCCTAAGCGACAGCTCAGGGTTTGAATTACCTATACTGAAGAAAGCACATTTTTTTTTCTCGTTGGGAGTCATGTGTATCAATATCTGTTAGCTTCAGTTTCGTAGCCGAAACATTAAATAGGGTTAAAGAATTAAACATGGCTACCCACTAAAAAAAAATCTTTACAGTGATAAAAAGATAATGTCACATAAAAAATAATTTAAAAAAAAATACTGTTGTTTTAGATTTTCTCTGTAGATTAGTAATGATCTAAGTGAAGATCAATTTAATTCTTTGTTTGTTTGTTTGTGTGTGTGTGTGTGTGTGTGTGTGTGTCTGAAGTACAAAAGGCAGGGATTTATTGCACTAGAATATGTATTTCCAAATTTAAGAGAGACGAAATTTTACTTTAATATATAATTTCATAGAAATGCCTGAATTTAAGAAAACATCACTTCATACTGAAAATATGCTTATTTTTTGCACTAATCTGAGCGTTGTCATGGTAATAACAAATAATGTATTAATTAATTTGAATGTTTTACAGCTCATCAACGCTTTGGGCATAAAAAGTGGAAACACATTTCGGATTGCAAACGGTCGTTTACGGCACTTGGTGTTCCCAAGCGCTACCCCATAGAAATACGAACCAAGTTCGATGTTACTTATCTCCAGTGATCGAACGAGAACAGGTGTTTTCAGCGTGATTTGTCCGTATTAATCCGCAAGCCACTATCTTCGCCTTGAAAAAATTTATTTGCATAAATATTAGTTCACAACTTTTCAATGCTCCTAACACAGCACTTTACCATTACTCGCAAATCTCGATCGTTTTACAGTGAAAATTCCAGATAATCATTCAGTTGCTAGATTTGTTTAAGGGTTTGCTATCGGCAGATTTCAACAAAAGGTGGGTAAATGTGGCAAGCCTGGTTCTTGATTTTCTTTTTTAGTGCCATTTATGACACAACGGGGCGTTTTTCTGTTGGACTCCTCGCCTGGTTAAGGTAGATATTTTTTTTTACCTTAGTTAATGTTAATAATCGTTGTTCCAGGCCTGTTCCCAGCATTTTTTTTTGTTATGATCCATGTCAAGATTCTTAACTTCCCAAGTCTGCTTATTATTCCCTATTTTTATTTTGACTTGGTCAGCTTTTGATTTTCCCATTCCACAATTTATATTGTACTTCTCTCACTTTTAGTCAGTTAGCGTTTTGATTTCGCCTATCGGCAGAATAACACTAGCCATTTTTCATTTTTCTGTTAGACGAGTCTTACTAACATATTCTCTTTTGAGTTTGAATGTTTTCTTACATTTTATTTTCACTATTGGGTTCATCTTCTCCCCCTTCATTTTATGCCATATATTTTTTATAAAATTTTTACAATAAAAAATTTCCCCAAAATGACATATAGATTGTAAACTTTTTATGACATACGTAAACTCCCTTTTTAATATGCGGCACTGTAATGTATATCAGATGAATTGAGATCAATTAATTCTTGTGTTGATTGAGGAAATTGTAATGAATGAACGGGTCGCGAATCAGATTAACAAGTTTTGGATAGTTTATAGCAACCAACCTCACTCCTATGTACAGTGTTGAATTCAGAATCTTCCTTGTCCTAGTCCGGTTACCACCCCAGTCTGCCATGCTATTTACTCATACCTGTTGGTGGGGGAGAGAAGAGATGGATTCATACCTTTCCCAAGGGCATTAGCACGCAAGTGAATATAATGAACTTGACTGAAATTCGAACTCGGCTCTCCGATTCCTCAATCTGAGCTGCAATCTATTATTCCACAGCGCCTCAACGACCTTAATACCCTGGGAAATTTTGTGCGAGGTATGTTTACTCTTTCTTTATCTATCTATCTATCTATCTAGATATACTTCCTCCAAATTATTTCCTTATCTATCTATCTATTATCTATCAACTATCTATTTTCTTTTCTATCTATCTATCTATCTATCTATCTATCTATCTATCTATCTATCTATCTATCTATACTTCCTCCAATTGCTTCGTCTATCTATCTATCTATCTATCTATCTATATACTTCCTCCAAATTATTTCCTTATCTATCTATTATCTATCTACTATCTATTCCATTATCTATCTATCTATCTATCTATCTATCTATCTATCTATCTATCTATCTATCTATCTATCTACTTCCTCCAATTGCCTCATCTATCTATCTATCTATCTATCTATCTATCTATCTATCAGTGTCTATATATTTATCTATCTGGTCGTCCACTTAGTAGTCTCTTCAGAATATTGTGTTCATCCAGTGGGGGAAATTATGATTACTTGCAACTTGACTAAATTCTCTGGCTATGATGCCCTGTTCAACGAACCAAAAGAGATTTGCCCAAGGACAGAACGAAACCATTTCATGGTCAGTATTCTTCACAAGAACCAATTACTTTTCTAGTGCACGTATTCAAACGGATTATCTATGGCTGTGCAAGTGTGGATAGATTTCTGACTATATACACTTAAAGGCATTGTATAATCAGGCATATATGTACACATACAGGCGCGCACACACAAACACACATATACTCGCATGCACACACACACACATATATATCGCACAATATCCTTACAATCACACACACACACAGACACAATTACACTTATATATTATTATATATTTAGGTTTGTGTTTGTGTGTGAAGTGAGAGAGGCAGACAGATACAGAGAGAAAGAGAGAGAGAGAGAGAGAGAGATCGGGTAGAGACATAGACTCTGACAATTGTTTTTATTATGCAAGACAATATTTTCAAAACAAAATTGCTATTGTATATATATATAAGTTATGCTGACTTTCCTGTATAATATGGGACCAGAGAGTCTCCGCTTTAGATAGATAGATAGATAGATAGATAGATAGATAGATACAAGAGGATAAAATCCAGGTAGAACTCAATGTACAGTACAGAGCAAGAATATAATATAAAAGGTTCATAGAATATTAGTGTTTGAGCGTTATATATATATATATATATATATATAGATAGATAGATAGATAGATAGATAGATAGATAGATAGATAGATCGTCATTGATTTAATTTCCGTGTTTTATAAAATGATATGACTGTAAAAGATACATTTAATATATTTCAAGTTTATTGAGTACTGTATACACAGTGTTGTAAAAGGCGATAAAATTGAAGAGAGATCAATAAATAAAAACTGTAATCTTTTGCAAGACAAGGAGAAAATGTCTTTAAAAATGTCACAAAAACCGATGTGAGAAAAATTAAAATATTGAGAAACAAGTAAAGTGCTCACTAAAAATATTTGAAGCAAATGGCGTTATGAATGTAAACAGACAGAGACGATACAAACATTTTCGATATTGGCTAAATCTGAGTAGTAATTTTTAATGATGAATAAAGAGCTACATTGGTCGGACCTGATGATTAGGCTCGAATTTGAGTCCTTCTTGGAAATAGTCAAACCAAACCGACTTAAATGATCGCAAAAAGATGAAGAGTAATGCTTTAGGCTAGTATTTTAAGCAATAAAATTATATGTTCCTTCAAATTTTAGGGCGATGTCACGTGATAGATACAAAAAATTATTGCATGTTCTTGGACAAGATATTTTTGGGTGTCGAAAACATCGCAACCAGGAATCTTTCCTATTCTGCGATGCCGGTTATTGCCAATCTTGCGAAAAATATTTTCAAATACCTAGACTAATGGAATATTCCTTGGCCTCTCTAGTTATGAATGTAAAAGCTGGATTCAGGATTTGAAAAAAATAGATAATGAGGGCGGAAAGAAACTTTGGCAACTCCAGCAACAAAAGAGAAACTGCGGTAGAAGGAATTAACTTTGAGAGCAAGGAGCTTGTTGAGGCCGGGTGGAATATGAAGTTTAGAGCTGCAAGTCTACCAGGAAGATCAAAGAGGGACTATTAAACCATTTTTTGAATTGAGTATCTACAAGTTCTGATCAAAAATATTGGCACTGGTGCCATAAAATATGACAACATTTAATCTCCTTCGAAAAAGTCCTCTTCTGGAGTCGTACAGAGTCCTCTTTTCCATTGATGAAACACTTTTTTGCGGATAGCGAGCATCTGATCTGTTACATTCTCTTGGATTTCCTCGACGTCTTGAAATCTCGTTGTTTTTAAGGGTTTTTTTTTTTGAAGAGGAAAAACGCAAGGGGAGAGATCTGGCGAATATGGTGGTTGTTGGAGCTGGGGAATGTTGTGCTTTACCAACAACTGCCACACAAGCTAGGGTCACTGTTGAAACTACTGCGGTGTAGTGAGACGGCCGCACTCTACACACTTTCCTTCCAAACACTGCTATAAACAACGGAAGTGAGCAAGAACGATTTAACTTAGTGCGTATGCGCGGCAGAATTCAACGTCGATCAGTGCTAAGCGACTTAACTTTAGTTCCATTACCATAGCAACACTATAGATACTTTTTGATTTTGTAGTAATTTTGAGTTCAATCCATGAAGAAGGGTGAGTGGAGAGTACAACGGATGTGATAATAATAGCAAATGCATTAACCCGACTGTAAATAATGTAGGCTGTTTAATGCCAGGTGCAAAGGAAGTTGTCGAAATCACGTATTATGTTCTGACTTCTCGAAAGAACGTTTGGTTATTCTCAATGAAAGGTGGTAGCAATGTGAAAATTAACGTCACTGTTCCATAGATTTAACATAACATGGCTAAAATGACCTTTGAACTCCAGTGCTGGAAAATACTCAAAACTTAAGACATAATTTTGGCATGTTCGTTTGCAAGATCCCAGCTGATGTTAAGACTTTTCTGAAACTAATAGAAACTCTCTAAAATGCTTAACCCATATTCCATGTACATTCTATATAATATTACATTTTTAAACGATGGGTTGGTAATATTTTTAGAGAATAACTTTCTAACTATTCTTTCGAAGACATGGAATCATTTTTCTTTCTCCTTTTGGAGCTGCTCAATCTTCATTGATGCAACTAATTTCCTAGCAGAAATTCTTATTGATGAATACCGAATTATATTGTTTATGCCTAATGGTTAAGCCAGAATTTGAGTCCCTGAAAATAGTCGATAAGGGATGTAGAGTTATGCTTTAGGCTCTAGGCTGTAGGCAGTAAAATTGTAGGTTTTTTTTTCAAAGGTGAGGATGATTTCAACTGATAGAGGCAGAAAATGAATCTAAATTCTTGGACAAGTTTATGTGCGAAAAAAAACGGATATATTTCTTTCATATTCTGCGATATTCTGTTAATAATGTAAGCTGTTTGATGTCAGATGTAAACGAACTCTTATCATTCTCAAAGAAAGATGGTAGCAAGTGTAGGATTTATAGTGTTAATTACGCGGCCTTGCGGGTGATTAATCATTTTCAACCCTACAATACATTTCCCACAGATGAAATGTCGCAAGCCTATGGCTACACCATTGCTATTTCCATGACAAGTATTCTGATGAGCGATATTTAAAGGCCATAGCTTTGTTCTACCAGCCATGACCTTTGCAGTATTGATGAATCATCTTTATTCCGTTCGGCTTACGGCTACATTCTGTTGAGAAATCACCGAAGTTAAGCAACGTTGAGCCTGGTTAGTACCCAGATGGGATACTGCCTGAGAATATCAGGTGATATACTCTTGGCTCTGTGAGTGGTGTAATGCATAATGTCTCGGAATTGTTAATCAGAGAGCCGGTTTCCAATTCTATTTGGGTTCGTTATATTCACTTACGCCTAAATAACCTTGAGAAAGGTATGAACTTTCCTCTTCTACCCCCATCTATGGGTTAATTAGCAAGACTCGTATCAGTAAACTATTATTATTATCTAAACAATTCTTAAAATATAAAAATATTTTCTGGTTTTAAATAACCTGCAATATTTGATAGGCTGTAGAAAAAGCAATATTCCCTTTGTATACCGTTAATAAAAAATATTCCATTTGGATAGTTTCTGCCCAGGAACGGCTGCTTTGTGGAACAGACTCCCGGCAGGATGTTTTCCCGATTACTACAATCTTGAACTCTTCAAGTTTAGGGGTAACCGTTACTTTTCCTTCACATCATCATCAACTGCAGTTCTTGACTTTTCTTATGCACATGCAACACCAAACCCGGGCGGTGGTGATGGAGATTGATAAGTTAGTCTTGATCTATCTTGCTAAATCTGTGTAAAATTTCATAGAAATCGGTCAAAAAATGTGACTATGCATAAATAGCATAGACAGACACACAGGCAGATATCTCCTCTTTTATAGATATAGATATGCTGGTATAATGGTCGGTTCATTTTACCCATAAATATCGAGCTACCCCTGCTATACTTTATCTTTACAAAACCAAATTAGACGATAAATGGATTAATGTTGTATATCTGGGGCGAAACTGCTCGGCCCTCCCCGTCTTTGATATACGCGGCCTTTAGGGTGATTAATTATTTCCCAGACTACAACCCCTTTCTCACAGATAAAACGTCGCAAGTCTTTCGTTAGTCTTTCACTGTTTTTTTTCGCAAGATTTCTGACAAGCTAACATCCACTAGCCCTGATATTTGCAGTAAAGACACGTCGTACCACGTACAGACGGATGAATCCGCATCATTCACTTCGTATTCCGTTAATAAGAAGTAAGTTCCACTCGGACAGCTTCTTCCCAAGTACAACTACACTGTTGAACAGACTCCCGGGAGGATGTTTTCCCGATTGCTACAATCTTGAACTCTTCAAGTCTAGGGTTAACCGTTACTTTTCCTACATAACTGAACTTCATGACTTTTCTTATGGTTATCCTTTAGCGTGATCCTTTACCTTGAGTGGCTCTTAGGCCTTGTCCGCGGTGAACATTAGTAAAAAAAAACAAAAAAAAAAACAACAACATTTTCTCATGTTTGCTAAATTTCTCACCTTTATTTATTTCCGTTCAGTATCTTATGAATAACCATTTCTACTTCTCTTCGCTCTCTCCCGTCTTGAATATAACAATAAACTACAGTCGGCAGCAAGACCTCTGATTGGGAGGTTTTGACGAGTGTAGAACCAACTCTTTATTGCTGTTGTTCCAAGGTCCACCCTGACCCGGGGTGGTAGCACCTGTTAGGGTCCCAGCTATGGGCAAATAGTGAACAACTAAACTGGGTTTAAAATACAGAGTATAGATTTTTTTTAAAATAAAATAAAAAAAAATTACCAGTAATTTTTGAAGAAGAAAATTATTGAAACTACCAAGAAAATTAAATTTTGGCATTAAATGACCCATAAGG